CTTTTGAGGCAGGATTCACAGGGGAGAAACACAACCAATGAGACAAGATATCAACTCATACCACTCTTAACCCAAAACTTTACTTATTGAGTTATGGGTCATACTTCCTTATATGTTGCTCAAATTTCTCATTATTACACAATATGAGACTTAGACTCACACTTGTATTTCCTAACAATAAGTGTGAATTCCTCACATTATGTACCATCGAGCTCACTAGTGGCCCTTCCATGTATCACCGTTCACTCTAACAGGATATGCTTACCTAACCCACTCTATCAAGAAAACTTTCGATGTAAAAATCACTTTGACCCACTGTCGATCAACCTTCAGCTCTAATACCACTAATTGAGTCTTTCGAAGGGGGATTCACAAGGGAGAAACACACCAATGAGACATGAACTCAACCCACATAAGGATTGACACCACTCTAAACCTAAAACCTTAAGACATTTAGTTATAGGTTTTTCTCTCGTATATGTTACTTAACTTTCTCATTCTTACTTAATGTAGGACTTGTCTCATACTTGGATTACCAAATGATCTCCACCTCAAATGTGAGTCTTTTCACATTGGTACATCCTCTCAATCACACTAGTAGTCATTCTATCAGGAGTACTTTTGTTACAAAGATCACTCTACCACTTGTTGGGTCTTTCGAAGGATGATTCACAGGAGATAAACACAACCAATGAGAGCTCAATCCACATAAGGGATTGACATTACTTTTATTCCAAAACCTCCCTCGAGTTCACTAGTGGCCCTTTCATGTACCGTCGTTCACCTTAACAGGACACATTTATCTTACCCACTCTATCAGGAAGACTTTTAATACAAAGACCATTCTAATCCTCTGTCGATCAACCTTCGGTTTCGATACCACTTACTGAATCTTTCGAGGGGGGATTTACTAGGGAAATATAACATCAATGAGACCCGAGCCCAACCCACATAAGGATTAACATCACTTTCAACCCAAAACCTTAAGACATTAAGTTATGAGTCATACTTCCTTATATCTTATTCAACTTTTTCATTCTTACACAAGGTAGAATTTAGAATCACGCTTGGATTCCCAATAATCTCCCCCTCAATTATGAATTACTCCACATTGATATATCTCCTCGTGTTCACTAGTGACCATTCCATGTATCGTCGTTCACCCTAACGGGACACACTTACTTAACTCATTTTATTATGAAGATTTTCGATACAAAGATCATTTTGACTCACTGCCGTTCAATCTTCGACTCTAATACCACTTGTTGAGTTTTTCGAGGGAGGATTCATAAGGAAGAAACACAACCAATGAGATAAGATCTCAACCTACATAAGGGATTTACACCACTGTTAACCCAAAACCTTTATGCATTGGGTTATAAGTCATACTTCCTTATATATTACTCAACTTTCTCATTCTTATTAGTGATGACAAAACGGGTCAGCTAGTCCGCCCCATTTTGGGTCACCCAACTTTTTTCCTTCTAAAATCGAGGTGAGGTGGGTTGACTCGCTATAATCATGACTGAATATAAAACTTAGACCGATCCCGCCAAAGCACGGGTTGATGGATCGATCGACCATAATTTTAAAAAAAATATTTTTTTAATCAAAATTTTCAATAAATTTAGTAATAAGAATATTATTTATTTATCAATAATTTAACATATATATTTCAAGTTAATAATATAAATAAACATATTATTTTAAGAAATTATAATTTAGAAGAATAATAAATTTTATATAATAATAAATAATAAAAAAATATATAAATAACGTCAAAATTTGTAAAATTTATATTTTTATATTGAAAAATTCAAATACTTATATATTTTTTATTTAATAAAACTTTTCATTGTTCTACTATTGAGTAATTCTTACATCTTTAATTCAAGTCATAAGGATAGAATTGTCGAGTACTTAGGATGAGAGGAACTTGTGTTTAAGTAAGAAAATATTTCTTATAATAAGTGAGAGTAAAACTTTTTTAATTCTCTTTTTACAATTCTTAATTTTATATATTATCTTTATGATTAATTATATTATTATAAAAAATAATTTTTTTATTAATTATGTGGGCTATGAGTTGACCCGCCCCTTTACACGGGTTGACAAGTTTAACAGAGTGGATCAAAACGGATTGACGAGCTAAAAATATTAAAACACCTCATCATATTATGACATACTTATGTATCAGTCCAAACATGACCAATTTTATTATCCCTAATTTTTCCACAATATGAAAATTAGACTCTACTTATATTTATAGTTCCAACTGGACCTCTTTAGCTAGCTTCACCAAGCAGGAAGCTTGTTGAGCCTGCAACTGAGTCAATCTTATGAAATAGAAAAATGAATATAAAAGTTATAATGTGTGCTGTTCCTCTTTTTGAACCCTTTACAGCACAAGCTTGATGTTTGATGCTATCTAAATTATTATTTTAGACTTACCTTGCAACTTCAGCATCTACCCTTTCTCTGCCCTACAATCTTATCAACATTCTGTATGGCTAGCAAGTATGCAAGTCATTCAAAATAATATTTTATTTTTCATTGTATATAAAAAGGCTAGTACGGCTATTTTATTCTTCTTTTCTTTTTCTTTTTTTCCAAAAATCCTCATCATTTGTTTATAATAGTTCTTAAGAAGCTAAAATTTCTTAGTTATGGTAAGTTACAAACAATAATTTGATTTTGTGACACGGACACCATGGCTATATCCGGAAGAAAACAGAATAAAAACATGTGCAAAGATCTGGCCTCTCATCTTTAAAGAAAAAAAATAGTAGTTACTTCTGACTACAAACTGTCACAGAAGGTCGATGAAAACCTGTATACAATTTAAAATAATTTAAAAATGCACGCCATTATAACATAATAATAGTTATACATAGAATCGATATAAATCGGTGGAACAGGTGTCAACCGGTCCAAAAACATGTAAAACCAATACAATAAAATCAGTTTTTATAAATTGCAATTTTAATTTAAAAAAATATAAATTTACTTCAAACGAACTTTTCTATCCAATTTATTGTTGCACAATTTTAAAGAGCATTAAATACAAAATTTTAAATATTTTTAATCACAACAAATTTTGAATACACTTGAAATATAGTAAGTTATATTTTTATTTACTTGATATGTGTTTATTATGAAACAAAGATAATTTTGTGACTAAATATATTAAAACATTAATTTATTTAATTAAGTTAAACATATAAGCATTAAATTTCATAAATAAGATTTAACTTGAAAAAAATAATCAAATTAGATATGGTAATAATAATAATAATAAATTATTATTAACTAGAAAGGTTAGCTTTCTATTACATTATTTTATTATATTAATAAAACATCATGACTATGAAGTAAGAATAAGGCAAAGTAAAAGTTGAATAGTCATGTAGATTCTGTAATCAAATCCGATATCATAATCATTTACATCAATTTTAATTTTTTATTAATTGTGGATAAATTAATTAATAACATCGTACATACTCACATCTTTAATAAAGGTATATAAGAAAAAAAAAGGTTAGGTTTATTAATTTTATAAAATACTTAATATTAAATATTTTTAAAAATTAAAGCTTAAAATAAAAATGAAGAATATTGTTTTTTATATTATTTTTAAAACTAATGGATCAATCGTAAAATTTCTTTCCTAACTATTTATTGAATATGAGTTATTATTCTTTCTCACTTATTCTAAACGACGTTTATGATATTTGTTATTTATTATCTAACAAATTATAAAGTAATTAAAAGTATTCATTTTAATTAAGAAATAATTAATAATTAATTTTTCACTTATACAATATTACACTGTAATTCATAAAGTTTAAAAAGTAACTAATTTAATAAATAGTTTCAATTTTTGTTATAATATCATAAAACTATAAAATAAATAATAAAGTTTAAAATAAATATTTTATTTTCTTAGAATAATAAAAAATATCTCTTAATCTTAAATTCTTCTAATTTTGACTTGTTTTTTCAATTTTTTGGTTATTAAAAAAATTGACAAAGATAAAATAGTTTGTGATATTTGTTATGTATTATCCCAAAGATGATAAAATAATGAAAGATAATTATTTTAATTAAAATAATTATAATAACAATAAATGAGTGAAATAGATAAGATATTCGAGCATGTTATAAACTATCACTCGTAAAACGTAGTTATAATTATCTTAATTATTATAATTATAACATTTTTTGGGAATTAAAAGGAGGAAGATAACACAAATAAGTCTGGTTTAAATGTCTCTAAATTAAAATTCAAAACTTGAAATTTATAAGAAAAATATTTCATTATCTAACTCAATTTTTTAAATATGACATTGGTTACTGCTTTACAATTGATTTTAAATTAAAATATATTAATTTAAATTAAAATCTAATATAATACAAGAATCGACTTAATTTTATTTATTAAAATATACATCTTCTTATGATTACATTCTCAAGCAAATTATATTTAATCATGAAATAAATAATTAGTAAAATTTATAAAAAATATCAATGAAAAAAAATATTCAAATCAAGTTATTAATAAAAGTTGATTAAAAATAAAAAAATATATTTTATGATGTATCTTTAATTATTTTTATCAACTGACTTTATATATTTCTTAGTTTGACAATTTGCAACATGTGAAAAACAAAGTGGCATTGTGTGGCAAGGGATGGAATGCAACCTGGACATGGTAAACATAAAATCAGTGAAAGGCCATGAACACAGGTGGAAAGGGAAGAGGATCCGAAAGTTCGCATAGTTTTACATTCCCTCACCATTGGTTCAAACGAAGAATTAGGACCTCACATCATATAACACACCATTTTACTCTTACTTGCTTTCAAACTCTCCTAGCTACCCTTATCTTTGTCCATCACTTGTTAATCTATTAAACCACAACCTCCATCAACAACTTAGCTACATATTAATTCATTGGGGGGATCTGTGTTGGTGAATTGTGAGTTGAGATCTGAAGCAGGATGGGTAGAATATTACAACAGTATGTGGCTATGAAAAGGGATACTGATACTGTAGTTGCTGGTTTAATCGAGTCCGATATAAATGAGCTCAAGCATGCGGCCACGAAGCTCCTCCACGATGCAACCGTGTTAGGAGGCAAAGGCTTTGGCATTTCTTTCTTTAAGTGGCTCTCTTCATTTGCTGCCATGTAAGTTCAAATTTCTTGCCTCCAAAACATGCATGCATCTTATATCATTGTATTAATTAAATTGAGTTCTTATGAAAATATTCGTTTCAGTTATTTACTGATACTGGATAGCACAAACTGGAGGACGAATATGCTGACATCGTTATTAGTACCTTACATATTCTTCAGTTTTCCCGACTCGATGTTCCACTTTTTAAGGTAATTAACGATGGCATTTGGTAATATCTCTCTTTCTTCATACATATTTAGTCATATATTGATTGAAAAGTTGGTCTAAAGAGGAGAAGTTGGAAAATGGATTGCATTCGTGACAGTGGTGCTGAGGCTCTTCTTCCCAAGGCATTTTCCCGGTATGCTTAACTTAAGTGCAATGCCTAACCTAACAATAATAAGTTGAAGAAGGAGAATATACTAAATACTGATGCAAATTACGTGCAGATTGGCTGGAAATACCTGGCTCAATGATTCTTATTTTGATAGTGGCCCCCGACATGTTTTCTGAAAAATTTAGGAATAACTGGATCGGATTAGCAATTGATCTTTTCATTGGTTGTTACCTTCTACAAGAACATATCAGGGCTTCTGGTGGATTCAGAAATTCTTTCACACAGAGACATGGCATATCAAATACCCTTGGCATCCTCCTCCTCATAGTCTATCCTATTTGCGCATTCATTATTCATTAAGTATCATCGGCATCAAACGAAAAAAGAAGTATAAAGCATTATAGTACACTAGTTGGTGATGATGTGTAATCTGTTAGGAAAATAAATTTTTAGATGGTGGAGTTCGATACCCTTGCAAAACAACCCCATTTGTTTTTACCACACCAATGTAGAGTTTATATAGCAAGTTAATTATTCTAAACAAATAAACTGTTGAATATAGTTGCACTTCACATGCAAAATTTCTTGTCAACACTATTTTGGAATAGGGATGATATTTTGGCAGCACTATTCATTTCATATATTCAATCTACAATTCATTATAATAATTAATAATAATAATAATAACAATAAATATATAAATTAAAAAGGTTTTATCAATATTATATTATTAAAAACAGGTCAACGAATGTTTGATGGGTGAGTCAAATTAACATTTCCCTAATACATATAATAAAAAAATGTAAATGTAGAAAAGAGGAAATAATATTATTACATACAAAATAATATGATTGTCAAAATAGACAGTCTAGAGTCTGATTTGGTTCCACCAGTCAAATATTAAAAAGTTAATGATTGACTTTGACTTATATTTTAAAATGAGTTAAATTTTTTTGTTTAACCTAACACTATATTAGGTCAATGAGCTAATGAACCATTTTTAATCTAATTATTAATATTTTTTTTAATTTTATTTGAAAAAAATATCATTCAATTGTTTGTTTAAAATTAATTCATAACTTATCCGGGCAAAATAAAATCAAATATATAAAATCATTTAATTAACTCATTACATATTAAGGCAAAACAAAATAAAATATATAAATTCGTAAAAATGAGTTGTTACATTTATGTAACATTTAAGAGTTATATTTGTCTACACATAAGAAGTAAAACATATCCGATCAGAAATATTAGATAACATATTTTTTAATTTTATTTTCAGTTAAATACTCGTTATAAACTTATTGAAGTATTTTTAGTAATTGATTTAAAATATCTACCAAAAATATTAGATATCACATCTTTTAGCTTCTTCTTTTTTTGTTAAATACACGTTATAAACTTTTATAATTAAAGTATTTCTAGTAATTTGTTTAAAATTAGGATTCAAAATTTTATTTACCTCTCAAACTTTTTTATACTCAATATAGTTAAATTGAAAATAATGTTTAATCATGCATATAGTAAGTGCATCTCTCTTAATTTTAGAGTCAAATTTTCATTACTTCATGCTAGCCTTATTATCCAACCTAACTCCCGAATCATGATACTTTATCATCATACTTTAGAAATATACTATTTTTAAGAATATGTCGTCTTAAATAATTGGTCCTTACAAACAACAAATATGAGAGAAAAGAGATGACCAAAACAAATAAAGATGATGTTTATAGTTTATTATTCTTTCTAAATTATATATATATATATATATATATATATATATGATAAAATATATTATCAAATTAATTTATTATACATATATTTTCGAATAAATTAATATTATTTTTTTATTGATAAAATAATTATTATTTTATAAAATAGGTCAGTCCATAAACCTACGGACTAGCGTGACCTAAGTCCATTTAGGTATGACTTAAATAGGTTAAACCAAAATTTGGCTGGTTCTATTTGAGTTATAAATTTTTTGACCTAATCCGACCTATTTTTTGGATCTTTCGATTGTCTCGTTGGGTTAAGCCTATTTTGACACTCCTAGAAAATAATTGATGTAATTATCATTTCCTTTCTCATAAATTTTAAAATAATCAATTGGTAGTAAATAAAATTAATTAAATTTAACCAATAGTATTTGAAAAGGAATTGTATCAAAAATCAAAATTAAATCAAATAAATACTGGAGAATTCACACGACTTTACTAGTAGTTGTTTTTTTTTTCTTTCAACAAAAAATAAAATCTTCCAATAATCACAATTTAAGTTCCCCATTGTCAACACCAAAGCCTTGGTGATGTTTGAAGATCCTCCTCCTTATACTATAGAATGGCTGTTTATGCTGATGGTATCGGAACGTCGTTTGTTCAGGATGTAGTTTTCGTTTTACTGTTTTGCTTTTGTTATTTTCATAAAACCAAAAATTGGATCTAAAGGCCCAACAAGTTGGTCATGCTACTTATACTCTCCATCTTGCTCTTCATATCATTTACTTTTTATTTTATTACAAAAGTTAAAAAATAAAAATTATTTTACAAAATTTAGTTTCCATAATACAAAAATTTGTGCTATCGAAACAAATTTTCGTAAAAAATAAATAAAAATGAAAACGTGAAGGTGAGAGAAAATAAGAGTATTTGGGAAGTACCAAAAAACGTGGAATATGAAAAGAAAAGCAAGATGTAAATAGAATGAGCCTTAAGACGATCGATCAGGCCCATTAAACTTTGTGGCCTAATAAATGGACCCATTAAAAGCCTTATGCCTGTGCCAAACCCTAAATCCTCCTTCACATATCCAAACGCCTATAAAAGCGATACGGTGGTCTTCTGTCACTTCGAAGGCGCAAGAAGCGTGGTTACAGTCTCATTTTTTCTGTTTTCTTTAATCTATTTTTTGTTTTGTATCTCTGTATTCTATTTATTTGATTTAATTTTCTTTAATCTATTTTTTGTTTGGTATCTCTGTATTCTATTTGTTTGATTTAATTTTGTTAACCGTGTGTTGTGAATCGTTTTTGTTGAACATATTCGAAGGTGTGGTTTTCTCAGTGATGATCAAATAATGATGACGAGTCCGATCTAATCCATTCTTACAATTCTGACGACAAATCGAGGCATTTGTCTGAGAGATTCCACTCTTCCCATCCATTACGCTTTTTAATTTATTTTTTTCAGGTTTCATTGTGTATCATTTTTTTTCTTGTGATTAGTTGGCATGGTGATGATAGTTTTGAATATGTTCATATGATTATTCATATGATGAAATCAATCCTCCTACTCATTCTGAATGCCAGTTTTTTAATTCGTTTTAATTGTATATTAATTGAGGTTTTTCTGATTTTGTTTCAAGCACCTTTGAGCATTTTTTTACGTTCCTTCTTTCTTTAGTCTTGCTCAGACTCTGAAACAGAAAATTTTTGCGTGTTTTCATTCTGATTTCTTCTACCAATTATAGAATTCTTCAGTCTAGTACTTCGACTCAAACACACCGTGCAGGTTGATGCTAGTGAAGTATGACAGTTTTGGTTGCCAATTTCGTGTTCTAGTTTGTTGGATGCTAATGCTTTCATTTTTACGCATGATTTATGGTTTTGTAGACAAATAATTTAATTTTTATTCTGAATTATTTCTAAAGTAAAACTATTTTAATTTTCAAAGTTATATGTGGTGTTTATTTGATATCTTGTATTTAATAGTTTAATTTAGATATTATACTTAAAAAATATTAATTTCGATGCTGTTTATTGTTGGATTGACTTGCCTATCCAAGCAAAATTGTGGTGCGACATTGTATAAAAATTAACTCCTAAAAGTAAGAGGAATGGAAGCAAAAAAAAATTGTTATAATCATGCCGGTTTAATTTTCGGAATTGTTGAAAGAGAATTTTATTTACTCAGGGATTGCCAAATGCTTAGTTAGATAACTTCTAATCTATTTAAAAGATTAACAAGGTTGTATGATGATAGAAAGGGAGATACAGGATGAAATATACATTTTGATAATACCATTGGTTAAAATCTATTAAACAATAAAATGAATGTTAATAATTTCACGAGATAATTCTAAGATTTTTCGAGTCAACCAGAATGAGTCAAATTTTCTAATTTCTATAAAGAATTGTAATCTTCAGAACAAACAACAATCTAATTTTCTCTTCGGAGGCGCCTAACCAACAAAACACATGGACACTTCCCTCACTCTATATTAGGTAGTTACAGAAGTTTTATTATCAAAAGGTTTCTATGAATGACTCGTATAAATTGTTCCTCACCAAATCATTAAGCTTAGACTTTGGCATGTCAATAGGAAGGGTTAAGTGACTTTTGCTCCCGACCCTGGTTGCGGTCAAAATTAAAAATTAAGTTCTTCTGTTCGTCTCTCGTAGACTTTTTTTTTGTCTCTTTTTATATTATTTTAAAAATAATAATTATATTTATAATAATTTAATTTTAATTATTATTATTATTACTAATTAGATATTTTTTAATTTATTATATTTATATTAAAGTATATGTATATATATAATTATTTTTCTTGCATAGAATTCTTATAATAATTATATTATTATATATTATAACATTATATTAAAAAAATTTATTATGTTTAAGTTATTATTTTAAAATATTAATAAATATGAAATATATTATTTATAAGAAAATATTTAATAAATAATTTTTTTAATTTGTATAAAATATTAAAAGTTGTAATTATCAAATTTTTAAATTTTTTAAAATATAATTATTTTATTAAGATAAAATTTAATATAATGTCATCATCTCTAAGTTAAAAACTCATTTAAATTCATATTTCTTATAAGAACAGTGGTTAACATTCTTGCATCTAAGTGGAGAACAATACTAATAATTACAAAAGAGAAAATTTAGAGAGAATATTTCTAGAAAGAGAACTTGTATTGATAGTTGGTAGAAAGAGAACTTGTATTGATAGTTGATTTCATTTTGAGTTACAATATTACAAGTTCTTCTTATTTATAGGCAAATCACACAAGCAGAATTCAAATTTACACTAAACTAAAATGAACTTAGGACCCGAAATACCATACAAAGTGAAATCCAAAGATAAAGTTACTACTCACACTCATAATGGCCTTAGAAAAGGACAAGATATGATAAGATATCTTACAAACAAGATAAGATCTGATGATATATTCTACAATTAGGAGAATATATGATAAAATACCATATCTCGTCAGATAAAGTAAAGTTGATTCGGTCTCATCTTCATTAACACGTATGTGGAGATCACAATCGACACATGTAAATATAAGAGAATCGTGTTTTAGTAGCATGTTATAATGACAGTCATTAACTAAAACCTTTACTTTAGTCAGATATGATGGAGCCAAAATGATTCATATGTTGACTTCACTCCTTGTCATGTTTCCATGTAGTGGGTCCCAGTAGGGATATATTTGCTTGTGCGCCATTATTTCATCCATAAATTATTCATTGAAATCATCCGCTAAGTCTTAAATATTTCTTCAAGTGCGTAGATCTCTATTGTTGATTTGAAGAATCTTATCGGTTAAGATCTGTCTTTTGGGACGATCCTGTTCAGAGGATAAGAACTAAGCAGTCTTTGAAATGAGCTGGCGATGTTGGGGTCCACTGTCTTGTGATGGTAGTTATTGACTTCGCAGAGGTGTCGCACCAATTATGTCCGTTAACTTTCATCAAGTGGATTGGTCTCGAAGTTGTCCCAAATATAGGTTTCATTTCTTGACCATAGTTGACCTGCTGGATTTAGGAAGTATGGACGGTGGATGATGAAAGTTAGATTTTTGAAAGAGTTCAGTAACTCCCCTTTGCTTCTTGAGTTCTTGTCTCCACCATAATAGTGGTGAGAATAACTCGAGTAGAGTCCAGAAGTAGAACTTATCCTTGTAAGAATTTGTCAAAATTCTATAGGTTTTCTGTGTTGTGTTTTCAATGCGATAGGAATGGAGTACTGAACTGTATTACACCATATGGTCCATAGAGTTGGTTCACAGATATTCCAACCCAAGTCATAGAATAATTCATAAATTCCCCCAAAATGAATATCAGGGTTAAAGATTAAAGATGAGATGATTTTGTATCTCATGGTTTCATGTAAAAAGTAGAAATAATGAGTCTTTGCATAGTAGAGGATATCGGCTGGGGTGGTTAGGTTCAAACTAAGAGGATAAACTGTGACAATTTTAGCTTTGTTAGAGAGAGGTTTGACCATGAAAATAAGAGGAAGACTATATGTGTCATAAATCAATTAGATAGTCTTCTTGGATCTGGACAAAAAGTCAGGGATTGTATTTAAGTTTCCTTTAATTTACTTAACAATAAAATCATACCTGGAAAACCAGTCCATTAGCTGGAGAATCTGAGGACTAGGAGGCATCTTGTTCTTGAATTCTAGGATATTTGGGAACGAAGAGTTGCCCATCTATGCCTTAAAATGATGTCCTCTGAGATGGAAGTCAAATTATTTTATTTCTTTCTTGACGGCCAAGACTTCCTTGAATATAGTGTGGTAATGTTTCTCGATCCTTGAATTGTTCGCTGGCATGACCACAATAATACCTTTTCCCATTGTCTTCTTCAATGAGCATTGTTCCCTAGTAGTCATCACTGACATCAGTTTGCAATACTCGTTTTCTTTTGCCTAGAATCTTCAGAGCTGGAGGAGTTTAGACTACCTTCTTCAGTTCTTTAATGACTCTGGTGTGCTTTGGTCCTCACAGAGGTGGATTCTTCTTTAGGAGCTTGGATAAGGGACTTGTATATTTGACAACGTTTGGGATGAATTCCCTAATGTAGTTGACTATCCCGAGAAACTGTTGGATCTGTTTGACAGTCAGATTTTCATCCGAGAAGTTAAGAAGTTGTTTAACAATGTGAGGTTGAGGTTGATAAGAGTCGTGACAGAAGTGCGTACCCAAAAAGTCAATTTCTTCTTGGGTTAAGTGAATCTTCTCTAAGAGTATAATCCCATGTTGATGGACTATTCTGAAAAATTGATCTAATAATTTTTTGTGGGAGTCCATATCTTATGAGAAGATTAAGATGTCATCAATGTATATTATCGTTTTGTCTAATATGGGCTCAAAGATTTTTGTCATGATTTTTTGGAACACTGATGAGGTTGTCTTTAGTCTAAAAGACATTACTTTCCATTGGTATTGGGCATTGGATATACAAAAAGTAATTTTGTATTGGTTAGCTGGATCAATGCCTAGTTATCAGAATCCGGATTTGAGGTTAAACTTAGAAAAGATATTATCAGCATGAGTAAGAATGAGGTTTTAGGTATTGGAAATTTATCATCCTTAAGAAAATAGTTAAGAGGCTTGTAGTTGATAACTAACCTTTTTTTCCTCTGATTTTTTTGGATCCCTTGTTCAAATAAAAGGCTTGACAAACATAATTGGATTGAGTCGGTTCAATCAGGCCTTGTTTCAACCGTTCTTGATATTTTTATCTTGTTAACTGTAGATCTGATGGAGACATTCCTGGATGTATGCTCTTCGTAGGATTGACGTCCTGAAGGGTAACTGTATAAATAATTAAGGATTCTTTCATGAAAGTTTGGGATGAGGGAATTCCTCATTATTGTTACTGCTAACATTGAGTTAGAATCTTTATATGAAGGCATTGACTTGTGTTCTTCGATGACTCGTGCAAAGTTTGAGGAAATCAATATGGAATTCTTTGAAGAGTGTATGGAGACGGTAGATAAGTGTCTTACTTAAGCTAAGATGGACAAGAGAAGTGTGCATGATGTTGTACTTGTTGGTGGTTCTTCTAGGATTCCAAAAGTGCAGCAACTACTGCAGGACTTCTTTGAGAGGAAGGATCTGTGCAAGAGCATCAACCTTGATGAGGCTGTTGCTTACGGTGCAGCTGTGTAGGCTGCTTTGTTGAGTGAAGGCACTAAGAATGTTCCAAACTTGGTGTTGGTGGACGTTACACCGTTGTCACTTCACTTGGTTGGAAAACAATGGGAGATATCATGTCTTTTGATTCCTAAGAATACTACTATTCCTGCAAAAAGGACAGAAGAATTTGTTACAATTGCAGATAACCAACCCGTTGTCTTTATCCAGGTTTATGAAGGTGAAAGAACAAGAGCCACTGATAACAACTTACTAGGTTCTTTTACACTTTATGGACTTCCTCCAGCTCCTCGTGGTCATCCCTTTGATGAGTGCTTCGCCATAGACGAAAATGGTATCCTATCTGTTTCTGCTGAGGAAAAAACTTCTGGCAATAAAAACGAGATTACCATAACCAATGATCAAGGAAAACTGTTCCTTAGGAAGGCTAAAGCAATGAATTATTTGGATTATTACATTTACAAGATCAGGCATTTTTCAAAGAAAGGGGATGTCAGGTCAAAGATTGGCCGAGAAGAAAAGGAGGATGTGAATTCTGCAATGATAAGGGCCACAGATTTACTAGATGGCAGTAACCAACAAGATGATGTAGCAGTGTTTGAGGATTGCCTGAATGAGCTAGTAAACCTCTTTGAATGTGTCAAGGCGACGGATGATATTGATTAGGAAGTTCTGCAATTCGTTTTTCAGTTGTGTTTTGTTTCTTCTTTCTATAGCTTACTCGGCATTTTATCGAAGGAGACTGATGCAATCTACATAGTTTAAGTTTGAGTGAATATATCATTTATTTAAAATTATTGCTGTGGATGACTGGAGTACTCAATTTTCTTAAGCGGATAAAAAAAAAAAAAAAAAAAATATATATATATATATATATATATATATATATATATATATAAATAACAGTTTATACTCTTGAATCATACTTTTATTTCTTATAATTTTGTTAATAATTGGATGGAATATAAAGTAAAAATATAAAAAAAAAACATTTTAAATAATTACTAAATCTATCAAATTAAATTTACAGTGATTTTGTAAAAAAAAACATCAATTATTTGTAAGTTTAAATTTATATAAATTAATAATACTATTTGTTATACAATATAAAATAATTAGAAATTATAAATAGTGTAAACATGGCTTAAATAATATTTTTAAATTAAAAATCGATAATAATTCATTCAACTGACAAAAAGACAATGAAATAAGTTAAATTTATTTTATTTAAATACTCTAATATTTATATTTTATCATGAATTATTATTTCCATTTTCGTCAATCATAATATTAACAGTATTTTTTATTTTTTAAATATTTTTCAGAGCTTTTATTCTCAGCAATCATAACATTAACGATCTTTTTTATTTTTAAAATATTTTTTAAAATTTTTATTCGATTATTTTATGGATATTTTTTCATAAATAATATCATTTTAAAATATATTTCTCAAAATAACGTTCATATAATATTATTTACCGCACCTAATATTTCTATCATTTCTAAAATTTTTTATTTTTTAATCAGAATTCCATCTTCGAAAACCGAATTCTAAAGTAATTTTTTTAATTTATTTTTTAGTTTTTATTTTTGTTTTATTAATTTTATAAATAAATTATTTTATAATTTTAAATATAATTTATTTTTAAGTTTATAATATTATTTTAATTTATAAAAAAAATATATATATATATATATAATTAATTTAAAGTTGATATATGTATATATATATATAATTTTAATTTATATAATATATATATATATATTATATAAATTATAATTATATATATTATATAAATTAAAATTACATATATGAATTTCAATTTAATTAATTATATATATTTATATTTATATTTATATTTTACATAAATTATAAATTTAAAATAAATTATATTTAAAATTATAAAAAAACTATTTATAAAATTAATAAAACAAAAATAAAAACTAAAAAAAATTAAAAAAATCAATTCAGAGTTTGGTTTTGTGGGGATTGAATTATGACTGAAAAAATAAAAAAAAATTGGAAATGATTATTCAAAATTGATAAAACGTGAATAGTAAATTGTATTATATGGATAAATAATATTATAAAAACAATGTTTTGTGAAATATTTTTAAAAATAATATTATTTATAAAAAAAAGTCCTCTTTCATAATTATTTATACTTTTTATTCGATTGAATATTTTTCTAACAATATTTTATGTAATATTACAAAACCAACCAAGTAATATGATAAGAATAAGAAAGTAATAATCAACCATTCTCAAATCAACTAGAACTTCTTTCATGTTATTCGTATAAAATATTCTAGTCTTGATTTTAAAACGAACAAAGTGTATCATATTTGTAAATATTTATTTTTCTTTAGTTTTAAATCAATATAAAAAAAATAGACCTCTATAAAAGCTTAAAATTGATATATTTACCAACTCATTTGGAAGTACTATACCGGATCTATTATTTAAACATTAAATATCAACGTAATATATATAATTATATATTTTATCACCTTTTTTTTTTCCAATTGTGTTTGAAACTAAATATTATTTTGTATTCTAAGGAAAGTCCCAAATGTGTTCTAATATCGTATTTTTTGGACGAGGTTCCTCTTCTAACAAAAAATTGTGGTTTGTGTTCGGAATCCATGTTCCTCTTGATTTTTAAACGTGTTGGTTTGTGGTGGATGTGATCCTAGTCACCAAAAATTGTGACAGATAGTATCTTTATCCCATTCGAGAATCTTGCAATGTGGCATGCAACAGAACCATCCAATAAGAGATCACCTTATCCTATCCGTTATCTTTCTCACACTACTGGCACCAAATCCAAAAACACTTACAATTTGTTTCAAAACCTGACAGAGAAAGAGTGAAGAGGGAACATTACATTGGTAGCAATGGCAGCTTCACTTCAAGCAGCAGCTACTTTCATGCAACCCACCAAGCTGGGCAGAACCAACACTTTGCAGCTAAAGTCGACTCAATCCATTTCAAAGGCCTTTGGTTTGGAACCCACTGGAGCTAAGGTCTCATGCTCCCTTCAGGCTGATCTTAAGGATCTCGCTCAAAAGTGTGTTGATGCTACCAAAATTGCAGGATTCGCCCTTGCCACCTCTGCTCTCCTTGTCTCTGTATGTACTCTTCTTTTCTTCCAATTTCATACCATGATCTATTATCAACTGTTACATGAACTCCCCCACGATTTTACTGTCATATTTACAACAATCAAGTTAAAAATTGTCAGGTTAGTCGATTTTAATTAATCATGTCATAATTTATATTGTACTTTAGAAATATCCATAAAATTAATGACACACTCATTTCATAATTTTTCCAATGGCTGTCTTGTTTTGTTAAAAACTCAATAAATTTACCACTTTACTAGGAAATGAGTGCATATCTCATCCACTTTCAAGGCATAAAAGTGAATTAGTAATTACTGTAACACATTTGAAAGTGAACTTACAATTAGGAACAAAAAATGCTCTCATTTGTTCTTATAGACCGAAGGTAGTAACGTATAGTTTGATAGTAAAGTTCAAGGTCCTAAGAGCACCCATGTTCACCTTATCAAATGTTGAATCCTTACTTCTTTCCTTTACGTTTTTGTAAGATACATTAGATGAACATCTCTAACGCATTAGTTATGATATATTCAGAATAAGAGCGCTGTGACCTTTATCATACCTGAATGAGACATATACTGATTTATGAAGCCAAGCCACTGCCAGTGTCAAGCATAGGGCTTAACCTTGTAGATACCAATTTAGATTACTTGATTAGCTTGAATTGATGGACGTGTTTACCAATGACATTCTCAGTTTATTTATGAACTAAATAGTCACATTAGTCCTTAAAAGATATGAACTTAGTCATATTAGAGCCTCAATGACGAAAATAACACTTGCACATACGTATGAGTACACTCATTTTAACACATTTTTTTATAGACTGAAATTTATTAGAATTCACCAAATCATGTTATTTAGTGTCTGACTCATGGCCTTGGGAGTTCTGATAGATTTTAAGCAAAAATAGAGTGAGCCAATGTTGGTCACGAGTATTTTAGAAAAGGTGTTCTCAACATGATGGTGTTGTATGTTTAAAGAAACTCAGTTGACTAAAACTGTTCATTTCGATTGGCAATATTGTACATGACTGACTGACTAGAAATTTTCAGGGGGCAAGTGCTGAAGGTGTTCCAAAGCGGCTAACCTTCGACGAAATCCAGAGCAAGACCTACTTGGAAGTGAAGGGAACAGGAACAGCAAACCAATGTCCAACCATTGATGGTGGAGTGGACTCATTCGCCTTCAAGCCAGGGAAATACAATGCCAAAAAGTTATGCCTTGAGCCTACTTCATTCACAGTGAAGGCTGAGGGTGTGGCCAAGAACGCCCCACTTGAGTTCCAAAACACAAAGCTCATGACACGTTTGACCTACACTCTTGATGAGATTGAGGGACCCTTTGAGGTGTCTCCTGATGGCACAGTCAAGTTTGTAGAAAAAGATGGCATTGACTACGCAGCCGTGACGGTTCAGCTACCGGGTGGCGAACGTGTTCCATTCCTCTTCACCATCAAGCAGTTGGTGGCATCAGGGACGCCAGAGAGCTTCGGGGGGCAGTTTCTGGTGCCATCATACCGTGGAAGCTCTTTCTTGGACCCCAAGGGAAGGGGTGCTTCCACAGGTTATGACAATGCCGTTGCTTTGCCTGCTGGTGGAAGAGGAGATGAAGAGGAACTTGCCAAGGAAAACAACAAAAGTGCCTCATCATCCACGGGGAAAATCACCTTGAGTGTGACCAAGACCAAGCCTGAGACTGGTGAGGTTATTGGTGTGTTCGAGAGTGTTCAGCCATCTGACACTGATTTGGGAGCAAAGGCTCCAAAGGATGTGAAGATTCAGGGCATCTGGTATGCTCAGCTTGAGTCATAGAGTGTTTCTTTTATGCTTTGTTTTGTGTTTTTTGTTGGCTCTGATTTTGTTGTGACTCCACGGTGTTGCTGCATTATCCGTTGACCCAACTTTCCTAGCACTACTGAGAGTACTGTCATGGTTGTATATTATATCGACCTCCAATTACAATGCTTTCAAGGTTTAAATTGATGGTGCGTGAGTTTTGGAGCTTAATTTTTTGCTACAAACATTTTTAATCACTTTCTTAATTCTCGTTCAGAGAAATTATCAAACAGAAAAACAATACCCTGATTGCTGAAATAGCATGAACTAGAATGGTCAATGAAATTCTACAATAGTTCATTTAGCATCTCCTTTCAGATCACGATAATTTGCAGAATATAAGGGCTTGTTTAGGCAAACCAATGCATGTTCGGTTTACCATGTTTTAAAGAAATGGTTGCTTAATTATTTTCCAATTTATTTAAAATTGAACCAATCATTAAACTGCTAAATTAACTTGTTTAATTAGTTCAATCGTATCGAAAATGACATTTATAAAACTATTACAATAGTTAAATAATATTAAAAAATATAATGTCATTATTCTATGACAATAAAAACTTAAATAAAATATAAATCTACAAGTTTTTAACATATAAAACACATACAAAAATTAAAATAAAATATATTATAATACTTCAATTAAAATTTCAATAGTATTTACTAGTAATAATAAGTTTATATATAAAATAAAATGAAAAATATTTTAATACTTTTAGGTGGATTTTAATATTTTAAGAGTAATTAAAATAATGTAATATTAAATATCTTTTAAACCTTTCTCACCAGACTTTTTTTTTTAATGGTTATTTACCACATTGATCTTGTAATTTCTTTAAACTAGTAAACACGTCGAGTCTGATTGGTGATGTGAACATGACTTATGATAAGGGTTAGAAGCAAGTGAAATAAATGAAGTTCTTCATCAAGTATTGTTGGTTGACCAAATTGTATTTTGAATTAATCAATGAATGAGTTTTAGTTTGATTTTATTGCAAGTTGTAATAAGGGCCCAATTGGAAATTTAGTTATCAGTCTTTGGGAGACCAAGAGGGTGCATAACTATTGACTTTTGGATGCTACAATTTCAGTTACAATCAATAATTAAGTAGTTTTTAATTTCTATGTTAATAAATCATTATTAACATTTATTTTCCTTTAATGAATATTTGTAACTTTGATGACAAAAATTCTTTATAAGCTGAACCATTTTTATCAGAAATAACAATTTGAGTTTTATTTTTAGAAATATTAGAGTTTATCTCTTTTATCTTAGTGAGAGTGATTCTCCTAAATTCTTGAGTGATTCAAGAACCATTAGCATGTATCAAAGGACTTTCACATCCTTTGTGTGTCGCCTTCCTTGAGAAGAGTGATTCTTTCCTTCCACTTTCTTTCTAATTCCTATATTTCTTACAAGGTTATAACCTTAAAGATCATAAATTACCCCTTGTGATTCATATCAGCTGGTATTCAGAGCCCCGGTTTAAAGATTTGAACATCAAATTGATGGCAGAGGAAGATAAAAAGAGAATGAGAGAAAATTTTCTTCAAGAAAAGAGAGAAAAAAAGAAGAAGAGTAAAACACTTGAAGTGAAACATAACTATTTAGCCATAAAACATGACGAATCCGATTTGAGGATAAATCCTTTTCAAGAGGGAGAGAATGATGTGAACATGACTTATGTTGGTTGACCAAATTGTGTTTTAAATTAATCAATTAATGGGTTTTAGTTTGGTTTGATTGCAAGTTGTAATAAGGGCCCAATTGGAAATTTAGTTATCAGTCTTTGGGAGACCAAGAGGGTGCATAGCTATTGACTTTTGGATGCCACAATTTCAGTTACAATCAATCATTAAGTAGTTTTCAATTCCTAGTTTAATAAATCATTATTAACATTTATTTTCCTTTAATGAATATTTGTAACTCTGATGACAAAGTTTCTTTATAAGTTGAACCATTTTTATCATAAATAACAAGTTAAGTTTTATTTTTAGAAATATTAAAGTTTATCTCTTTTATCTTAGTGAAAGTGATTCTCCTAAATTTTTGAGTGATTCAAGAACCCTTGGCTATATCAAAGGACTTTCAAATCCTTTGTGTGATGCCTTCCTTGGGAAGAGTAATTCTTTCCTTCCACCTTCTTTCTAATTCCTAAATTTCTTACAAGGTTCTAACCTTAAAGATCCTAAATTACCCCTTGTGATTCATATCAGTTGGTATTCAGAGCCCCGGTTTAAAGGTTTGAACATCAAATTGATGGCAAATGAAGATAAAAAGAGAATGAGAGAAAAATTTCTTCAAGAAAATAGATAAAAAAATAAGAAAAGTGAAACACTTGAAGTGAAACAGAACTATTTAGCCATAAAAAATGATGAATCCGATTAGAGGACAAATCTTTTTCAAGAGGGAAAGAATGATGTGAACATGACTTATGATAAGGGCTAGAGCAAGAGAAATAAAGGAAGTTCTTCAACAAGTATTGTTGTTTGACCAAATTGTGTTTTGAATTAATTGGTCTGTGGGAGACCAAGAGGGTGCGTATCTATTGACTTTTGGATGCCACAATTTCAGTTATAATTAATCATTAAGTAGTTTTCAATTCTTAGGTTAATAAATCATTATTAGCATTTATTTTTCTTTAATGAATATTTGTAACTCGATGACAAAGCTTCTTTATAAGTTGAACCATTTTTATCGAAATAAAAAGTTGAGTTTTATTTTTAGAAATATTAGAGTTTATCTCTTTTATCTTAATGAGAATGATTCTCCTAAGTTCTTGAGTGATTTAAGAATATTTGACTGTATCAAATGACTTTCACATCCTTTGTGTGTTGCCTTCCTTGAGAAGAGTGATTCTTTCGTTCCACTTTCTTTCTAATTCCTAAATTTCTTACAAGATTCTAACTTTAAAAAATCTTAAATTATCCTTGTGATTCATATCATATGGTCTCGCTTTATAAACTTGTGATTAGAGGTTCAATTTTCATATTTATTTATGAAAACATATCTATTAGAAAAAGTTAACTATTTAAAATTTGTTTGGATGAAATTTTCAATAAGCACTTTTAAAATAAATAAATAAATGAATTTCACCTTAAATTAAATTAAAAACAAAAATTTTATAGAAATTTTAAAAAATTACAAATTAACTTATATACAGATTAATTTTAATTTATAAAAAAATGATTTGGTTTTTCTTTTCTCTTAAAACTACTTGTTGAGAAATTCATCCAAATAAAATTTAAAAGTTATCTCAATAGTGTGAGATATTAGTTCTTATTTTTGTGAAGGGATAGATTGAAAAAAGTGTGTTAATTATGAATTAATGATGTATGTTTATTCCTTTGGAAAAATAAAACTTGAAATTAATTTAATGACTTGAATTTTCTTCTACGTCCCATAACTCAGACAATTGTTTTACTTCACTTCTCCATTACACTGTTAAAATTCTTAGGCTTTCTGAAAAATGTTACCCAAACATATTAAAAAAGCTTCTAAATTTCACATTTTGAAGAAATGAGGAAAAATATGACTACAGGATAATTTTGAAATGTGAATCAAAATAAATTTTTAAGTATTCACGTATAAAAATACTTCGTAATAAAATTTAGGATAAATAATTTTTTTCTCACTATATTTTTTTTTATACATTAATTTTTATTTGAATTCTAACCTTTGTAAATGTTACATTAGTAAACATGTTTATGGTAAGGTAATATGATAATTTTTAAGATAACTTAACAAAATTAAAGAAAGAGGCCATATAAATAAGTATATACTAAAGATTTAATATGAAAAAGTAAATCAAGTTAAGAAAAAATATTATATTCTAAATTGAATTAATATTAGCTTATAATCTATATAAGTTAAGGTTACTATATATATTATAAATTAATTTAAAAATAAATTTCTCTGTTGTAGTAGGAAGTGTTTAACACATTAATCCAATAAGTTATATATTATTCTTTATTTTTATTTAACATATAATTAAAATAAATTATTATTTTTAATAATTATATTATTATAAAATAAAATAAATTTAACTCTTATATTTTTAAGTGAATATATTTTTGTTAAAATTTTTATATATTAAATTATTATATCTGAAATAAAAAATTATTTTAATAATATAATTTAAATTTAAAAAATGTATTTTTTATTTATTTTGTTTAATAAATTATTTTTATATAATCATATTATATATTTTTTAAATTTTTTCAATCATATAAAAATAATATTAACCAATACTAAGACCAAAATGATAATATATTTTAAAATATAAATTAAGACGGAATGGATAAACCATTTTAACATCTTTAATCATATTTATTCATTTTAAAAAGAATAAACTGACCCCAGAAATAATAATAAGATGGAAAAAAGTAAAAAGAAGAAGAATAAGAAGAAGAAGAAGTATTTAACATAAAATTTAGCATTAAAGAATAAGATTTCTAAAATAAGAATATTCTAAACTGAAAGATTAATTAAAAAGGGATTGTATGATATATAAAAACAATTAACTCATAATCAACATTAGGCCCATTAGTTATAGTGAAAGGGCTTAATAGCCCACTATTTGATCTACTAGCCGAGCAAGCAGAGTGTGTCTAAAAGCTTTTGGGTCATAGCCCAAGTTAATAGAAAGCTTTGTGTATGAATGAACTCTAATATAAGGGCTCCTTTGCACTTATATTTTGCTATTAACTAACTTTTATTTACTTTTGGGGGCTTCGTAGCTATTGAAGTTTTAAATGCACAATGAATCATATAGAAAAAAAAAAATGAGAAGAAAGTGTAATTAAAATATTTTACAGTGGTAATATAAAGATGAAAACTATTTGGTAATTCATCTCTTGTCCTATAGTCACCATAAAAAAAATTTAAAAAAATTCTTTAGATCTCTTTCGCAAGTAAACTCTTAATTAAAAAATTTAATTATTGAAATTAGTCTCTATATAATGATTCGCGCAAA